GTGGGGGGCGGGGCAGTTTTTGGGCACTCGATCTCTAAAAGGTTCACCATCACTGTCCTAGGGCTTGAAAGGGAGAATTTGTTGCAAACCACTGCACTAAATAGCATTTTTTCTGAAACTGGGAAATGAATTTTATTTATATATTGGGGGCAGGGTGCAAAAATATGCCTGGGATTCCCCAAATAGCCCAGCTCCTAAAGCTAAACTTCTCTGTTGTGAGAATTTGATATTTCCAAATTAGAATTTCCCTATTCTGGCTTTTCGTTACATTCACCAAGGCAGCTGTTAAACCCTGCAGAGAAGCATTTCTGCAATTAGACAAGATACAGATACTAGTTCTATTAAATACTGGAGCAAAAATTCTCATATTCATTTGCACTCCTTGACCTTGGCACTAACCAATTTTCTCGATGGAGCTGTAATTTAAATCTTACAAGGTTTTCTAAGGGTCCATCTGTGCTACCGGTACAACTGCATTGTAAAAATAACCCTGAACCAATCCTTATGGAGATTCAGTTAGATCATCCAGATTACTGCATCTAGCATTTCTGTCACAGACTCAGCTTTCATAATGATGAAAGTCAGCTTTCTGAAGTCAGGTACAAAAAGTATAGAAGCACACTGTATTGGATGAGACAGACGTGCCTTTAAAACAGTCTTGCTGGCGTCTATAGTTATAGCTGTATGGATACTTACCTAAGAGTAAATCAGAACTGAATTTTATTACTTTATACACATCATTTCTTTCCCAAAAGTAAATCTGGGATCTGTATTACTGTCTCATCATCTGCCTGAACTGAGCAGGAAAACCTTAGGAGATGGAGCTATTGTTGACGGTGCCTTATTTCAATTTCCTGATCTTAATTTCATCACTTCTTCCTTTCTCTCCAATACATGATAGTTTAGATCAGTGGTTCTCAACCTGTGGGTCGGGACCCCATTTGGGGTCGAATGACCATTTCACGGGGGTCGCCAAACCATGCTGTCCGCCATTTTTTTCCCTTTTCTCTAGCTGTCCTACTCCCTCTTATTGGTGGCCACACCCACTTGGAGGTCACCACAACATGGGGAACTGTATTATGGGGTCACAGCATTAGAAAGGTTGAGAATCACTGGTTTAGATGCTACACAGCCTATTGTCATGGGGTCCACTTGATATGAAAACAATGTTCCATATTGAAAACATTGGACAGCCAATTACATTAGCCTTACATTCTATTGCATAGCGGGGGGAAGCAAGAAGACATGTGTTAGAACGTTTAGTTTCCTTTTCGGAAGTTACCATCTTCCCATTACCTATTGTGCATTTAGCAAGCCATTTTTAAAAACAAGCTAAGTTTGGCAGGTGATGTCACCCAGAGATCTTGGCTAATCTCAGCAGAGCTAAGCTAAGCTAAAACAGGGCCTTTAATGAGTAGTACTTGGATGGAAAACATTCTAAGGAATTTCAGGACTGGGCATAGGAAAGTCAAAGCATCTTAGAAGAAAAGCAAAGGCAAACCATTTTTGTAACAAGCCTAAAAATGCTGAACAGACCCATCAAACTTGAGTTGAAGCTATCTGACTGATGCTCCCTGTGGTATCTTTGGTCTTCAAATAAACAGATGCCAGGTTTTTATTGTTTGTAATGTTTTGATGTGCTTAGTTTTATATGTTTAATATGTTGTTCTAGTAGTTTTAACTTCTGATTGGGAGCCACCCAGAGCTGGTTGGAACATTGGTGCCTATATCAATGTTTCAAATAAATAATTTTGGGAGAAATTCAGTGCAACCCCCCCCCACCATATCAATCTTTCCTGCATATATTAAATAAGACATCTAGTTTAGATTTCCCAGCCACATTCCTTAGCAGCAGTTAGCAAGGCTATTTATGGCTAGACATGCCAAGTGCTTAACTTCATTCTTTTTCAAAATAAGAGCAACTGTTAGAGAATCCAAAATGCTGAGCAATTAAACACTTTTCTTTCTACTTAATATTGTGTATCACAAGTATTTTCTAATGGGATATGGATGCACTCTATAATATTGGGGGGGGGGGAGAGATACTAGATGTCACTCCTAGATTAGAAATAGACAATGCTTTTTTGTTAAAAAAAAAAAAAAAGGTGCCAGAACTCACACATGTTATACAACTTGCCTTTCCTACCCTACAAAGTTCCATCCAAAAAAGGTGCCGGAACTCTGTTCTGGGCATTCTATGACAAAAAAAGCCCTGGAAATAGATAAAGGCAGAAATAGAATGAATAGGGAGACTGTGTCCAGCAATGTGTCTCCTCTTTACATTTTTAGCACCCTCCTCTACATTGTACAACTGTAATCCACCTAGAGTTGCCTTGGGAAGATGGATGGCATAGACGTTTAATAAATACAAAAATCAGACTCTTCACCAATCCTTTCTGGACTCTGCAAAGTAACAAGACTTCAGAGGTATGAACATTGCACTAACCAACACAATTTTGCTAGTCTACATTAGGGGATCCCAAACTCTCGGTCAACCAGTCCGCACAAACAAGCAAAGCCCCATCTGCAGGATGCAGGCAGAACACAAAACCACACCCCCTCCAGTCCATGGAAAAACCTCTCTCCACGGAACTGGTCCCTGATGCCCAAAAGGTTGGGGGCCTCTGGTCTACATTGTTCAGTATTAAAACACTAGGAGTGGAACAGGCATTAAGACTCCTGACTAGAAGAGCAGCACAACAGCCTTCCCTCTCTCCTACAGGAACTTTTTCTATAAGAAACTAAACAATGCTGCAATTTTAGCTTCTCCTTACAAGCAAAGTTTTCACGAAGCATACACTTGGATTTCCGCACTTGGATACGTGAACAATCAGTAGGAAGATTTGGCCATCACTGGATATCTTTACCTTTCCCTCCCCCCCTGGTATTTTTTGTAATTGGCTAACAGTTCTAATAGTTTCACTAAATTAAATGAGCCAAGTTTAATAATGTAAATACTCAGCATTTTTAAGAACTTTCATCTTAATCACTGGCCCAGCATCACCCTCATTACACATTAGATCAAGATTCTGTGATGCTTAAAGAGTAGATCAAATGAAATTAATTTAATCATAGCTGATTTCAGTGGGTTCACTTCAAGCCTGACTAAATCTTAATCCAACTCAATGTTCCTTTACAATTTCATATGAACAGTTATCTTAGTATATTTTACAATTTTCAAATTGGTTAATGCATCTCCCATGTATGTGCGAAGTTCCCCGAAAGCATTTATGTTTATGGTTAATATTTTTAGATCACGAACTTTTTAATCTTTTGCATTTATTAGCTGCCTTGGATGCAGCTAATACACTAAGGTTCTGCAATCATTTATCATCATCTATGCCTTGTAGCTTATATTTTATGGCTCATTAAATTTTCTCTCATTTCCTATAAAGGAAAAAAAAAGGAAACCAAAAGCGGTAATGGAGGATTTGCCTATAAAAATGACACAGCATTGAAAACTCTTGTATGCACATGGAATACTGCTAACTCAGGTACTGCAAAGAGAGAGTATTTTGCCCCAGACAATAGCACTAGCTGCGAGACTGAGGCCACGCAGTCTGATTAAAGCAGGAGAGAGACAGGTTGGTCTAATGGTTAAGGCACCAGGGTAAAATCCAAGAGACTTGAGTTCTAGTCCCGCTTAGGCACAAAGCCAACTGGATGACCTTGGGCCAGTCACACTCTCTTAGCCCTAGGAAAAAGACAAAGGCAAACCACTTCTGAAAAACATGGTTGGAAAACTGCAGAAACTAATCCAGACAGTTGTCAGAAGTCATGACTAACGTGAAGCCCATCATCACCACTGCAGTGCAAGCTCCACACCTTTCTGAATGTCCATCATGGCATAAAAATCTAAAAGGGACAGAGCTTGTGTCATGAGAACACAATGTTTTGGTCATTTCACAAAAGTAGCCAGTTGCAAACCACCAGCCCCCAAAGCTCTACAGTGTCGTGTTTTACAAGGTAACCCTTATGATAGCAACTTAGAATCTTCAAATATTTACCAAGTGATTCCCTGAGTTATAAGAGGCTTATTTGACCAGGTAACAAAGGAACTAATCATAATCTTTCAAGCTTTGCTTCTCTTTGGCTCAAATGAAATGTACACACGAATTCAAAATGTCCGAAGAGAAACATTCATTTAAAAAATAAATGTCAGTTTTCAGTAGCTGATTATTTGATGGAAAGTGTGTTGCAGAGAAAGTTACTTTAAAACATTTGAACAAATTGGAAATGATGGGGGGGGGGGAAAACAAGGGGCTTCTTCTGCCATCCTCTTTTCTTGTTAATGCAATCCTGCACGTTGAACAATAAAGAATAAAGGAATTCTAGCAAAAAAAAATCAATACTAAAATCTAAGGAGCCATGGTGGCACAGCGTCTAAAATGCAATATTGCAGGCTGACTCTGCCCACAGCCAGCAGTTTGATCCTGACCGGCTCAAGGTTGACTCAGCCTTCCATCCTTCTGAAGTTGTTAAAATGAGGACCCAGATTATTGGGGGCAATATGCTGACTCTGTAAACTGCTTAGATGTATAAGTGTAAATGCTAAATTTGAAATCTTCTGCCACAGGTTTTTACCTGTTTCCAAAATGTGTCAAAATTATAAACTCTCTTCATAGAAATAAAGAATTACATCAAAGGAATATATTGTCTTTTGTGCATGCTCAAAAGCAGCAGCTATTTTTCACTCATTAAACCTTTGTGTGTGTGTGTGTGTGTGTGTGTGTGTGTGTGAGAGAGAGAGAGAGAGAGAGAGAGAGAGAGAGAGAGAGAGAGAGAGAGAGAGAGATGCTGAAGAATTTGTGTCAAAGGATACAGATTTAGTTGCTGGTTGCTGTTTTACCAGAGACCGGAAACAATGTTCCATCAAGAGGGTCAAGCTTTTTGAAATATGGAAAGAGAATGATTTCTTTTTTGACCAATTCATTCTCCCCAGCTATATGCATAAAAATGTAAGCCTGCAGCATGTTGTCACCCCAGTTCCATTCCGCAATCCAGCAAAATCTAGACTTTCCTTTTCCACATTCAGCCGGACTAACTCAAATTATATTATTTTGCAAATCAGTAAAGTAAAAGGAATGACAAATTTTCCCAAAAGTTAAAAAGAATTATAATGGCTCTTAATTCTTCTCTACCACTCCTTAACCTTTAAAAACAGTTCATTCACTCCTACTCCAATCTCATTTCCAGTTGAGTAGTAACTGATGAAAAAAATCTAGCATGGAAAATTAGGGGTTTTTTTCCCAAGGGAAAAAGGAATGATGGGAAATACTACCAGCTGAATTGTTTTTATTAGTCTTGCAAGAGTGGAACAATTCTATTAATAGTATAGCAGCTGCATGCAAGTTACCACCACTAGAGGGAGCATTTAGATCACCAATACTGTAATGTCCACATTTACCTTGGCATTATTTTTGCCTAATATTCAGAATTCCTGACTCTTTTAAAGTTTTAAAGGCCAGAAATCAATTTTCATGTGAATAAACTTAATTTCAGAATTTTCATATCCTTGGATCTACATTTCCAAAACATACAGGCTGCTCCATGGCCATATTAATGAGATTATATTGACTTAATTCCAAGTATCATTGGAGGAAAGCCCACATAATAGGCCTGCTTAGTGACATACTGAAGATCTCATGCAACATTACCCTTCATAAAGAGCGCCTGACAACCTTCTTGTGTTGATTTCAGCTGCACAAATTAAACCGTTCTCACTGCTGCACTGAGGAAACACCAGCCATTCACAATTACATTGGTCTTCACAGCAAAAGATGAAGATTGCTGTGCAAAGCTTGACCCACCCACAAGCAAGTGGACTAAATTAATGGGTTTTGGTCCCAATACTTACATTATGCGTCAATGCTTTCTTCCAGATCTTTAGCTTCTCAATCTAGTCTACCACCCTCAATATTTCCGATGGCCCCAAAGAACTAAGTTCCATTCACCTTTTAAGATCAGCCAATGCCAGCCACTATGACACATTCATACTACAACCAATTTTAATGCTTAAATAACCAATGCCAATACTAGGTGATGCTTAAACAACAAAAAACAAGATCCGTTTTTACTTAGGCACTTTCATAGGCATATAATTATCAAATTTTGCTCTAGAATTTTTACCAGCATAAATTGTTCCACAGCTCCAAGACTTCCCAGATTTATGAGAATGTCCAAGAGCTAAGGGATCCAGTCCTTATAGCATTTGCAAAGATGCTTGAATATCACTATTTTTGTATCACTTTGGCCATCCCATTTTTTGCAGCAGTTAGTGTAAATGCATTTGAGGCAAGAAAATGTCATTTAATAATTGACATTACTTCCAGATGATCTCAACCTTAGTCATTCAGAGTAATGATGGGCCACCCTCTATTTTGTTAAGAGAAATAGGTAATTATTGCAGAGATGATGAGTGGAGAGGATGGACATAGGCTGGAGAAAGAGAACAAGCAGTTCACAGCTAATTGCTCACTTCTTTTATAGCAGTAAAATCAGTAGGACTGAAAAGACCTTCATGTACAGTGGGTAACATGTAGTCCTCCATCTCCTTTCTGAAACATTCCGATTATGATTGTTAAAGACTGGTGGTGATCTTCAGCTATTTTGAAATAAACATAGGGGAAAAAAAACCCAATAAATTCCAAAACAGGATTAATAAAAGGGATCATACTCTCACCCACCCGCAAATCAAGTCCTATGCCTACAATATCAAAGAGTGTTTATACTTATAGAATGACCACCCACTGCTCAAGTCACATAAAAACATCTCTAAACATTCACACGTAACTGTTTATCCAACATCTTTAGCTGAGGCTATTTTTGTTTGATTAGAACCTGCCAGTATAAAGATGGTGATGTTTAACTACTTTTAAGGTAGGATTACTTTAGAATTAAGAGCACTTTAAGTGGAAACCAATAGATTATGCTTGATTCTCTAATTTCTCACCATACTAGAATGCAGCTAGGTTAGCCATCATATAGAGCTCATAAACTGTCTAAACCATGTGTTCAATTTGCTTTAATGTGTTGCATCAGCCAATCTTGGTTAAATCAGTTAACAGTTATGCAAATCAATACCTAAAAATAGTTGTCAGCCAAATGCACTAAGATTTGAGAACCCAGCAGAAATAGTCAGGATCAGCTTTACTTTTACCTCACAGGGACCAACACTAGTGGTCAAATCTTGGTTTTTAAAGGGAGAATGCCATCGTTGTATAAGATTAGGGAGCTACTTTCCAACTACGAACAGCAAGCCTATCCAATTTCTTCTATTTTGCAGCTATTGGAAGAACTGTTTTCCACAATGCCTTCCCTTATCAAAATATTAAGACATGACTGTACAAGGTGTGAAGAGATTGAAAATCTGCAGGTACTAATTTTATTCAGGAAACATACCAGATTCTTAAGACACTGCATAGCGTCAGAGGTATTTCCCTCCCCCCTTATTTCAAGATGCAAGATCCAAAATTACATAAAATAGTATTACCTGTATGCTGGGATGTTTCAAACAGATCTTTCATGTTTCCTTCCAATCAGTTCATATATTACTAAAGCTTTCAATAAGCATCTACTGTTATTTAACAGGACATACACCATTTTAGAAAAAGGACAGTAGGAAGTGCTTAAAAAACTCTTCCAAAATTTGTTATAAAGATTAGTATATACCTTCATCCTCTATATTTAGAAATTATATTTATGTCCATGTAAATCTGGCTAAACAGAAGTTTTTAAAAAACAAAAACCAAGGTTTATATTTTTTTTTCTTAAAATACAGTTAGTGCAAATCTAATTATGAAGTCTTCATCCAAAAGGTAAAGGGGATGGGTGGGAAATCCAGTCATCTTATAGCATTTCAATATATTCCAAATCATAATCTTGAGGAAGACTGGATACTTTTATAGCTACCAGAAATAATTACAAAGCAGGTTTTTTAAAAACTATAAAAGTTAGGATTAATGCCAGTGTTATTCTGCTTTCTCAGACTCAGCAACCTGAAAACTTGAATTGGTCAGTCAAGATTCTTTTCCCCCCCCAAAAAATTAAAAAATAAATTAAAAAAAAATCCCACAAGAACTGCAAAAGCATTGGTGTAACAGGCACTTAAGAACTGAGGGCTCTCACAAAAAGGGAATGTTATTATTGATCACATCCACTTTTTTTGTGTGTTGTGTGTAGCTTTCCACTTCAGCCACCTGAGGAGATTTACGCTGCTTAGGAGGCTCATGATTTCAGTGGTGTCCCCCTTTTGTGGAAAAGATGAAAGCAGCATCACGCCACTGCGACTGTAGCCCTCTCCCTTTCATATATGCTGCATCCATCACAATTCACCTACAAAAAGGGTGGAGCCTTAGCACCATAACTGCTTTTATTATCTTTTTTATTATCTTTATTATCTTTTTTCTCTTCCCTGCACATAAACCATCTTGAAACCACTGCTTGCCACTTGGAATCAGTGGGGCTCATAAAGCAGCAATCTGCAGAATCAACTGATTTTTCCAGGAGATTCCACACCAGCTGGGAATTTGGACACCAAGAAAAGCCCTAAAGGACAAAATACCCTCCTTTGAGTATGAAAAAGCTTCAATCGCCAAAAAGGGTGATTAAAAAAAAAACAGAGTTGTGTGTTTGAGGAATTTAAAGTTTTGTGCATTTTTGAAAGGCGGGATTATCTGGTAAATACATCTAGGATTTCTATTTTATGTAAGTTGGATTCTTATCAGCGTACATTTTTTGATAAGACACATCTGACTCTTGCTTTGAGATCAACCCCAACCAAATAACAAGTCAACCAGCTTGGACAGTTCATCTGCACTTATTGTTAAAAAATTTTTAATTGAGAATTGGCTTGTTAGATGGAACTTCTTCCTACCCATCTCCCCCCACCCCCACCCCAATTTTTACAAGCTCCCACACCAACTGGGATGCATGTCAGTCCCAGGAGCAGAAAGGAAACAAGCAAACACCTTAAGGCTGCATCATACAAGCTAAACCAAAAATAAAAAAAAATACTCATCCAGCCAAAACTGGGCCACCTTTTGGAAAACGGCAACTTATTATTTAACAAGGAAATCTATTTTCAAATAAGCTTCTATATTTTCACACATTTTCTTTCTGGGGTGATGATGCATGGTCAAGCAGCTTCACTGAACTTTGAATGGGGGAGGCAGAGAAGTGAGAAAGTCCCTCCCCTCCCCCGGCAACAGAAGGCTGAGAATCAGAAAGAAGACACGTTTTCACAGTAAACTATAAATAAAAGTGCAGCAAGTGTTCAAGTAGGCTAACGAGGCTATGTGGACAGCGTGGAGTATTGGTTTTGGTCATCTTTTGGAGGCTCTGCGAGGGTCCCTCCCATTACTAATTGTGCTTTGTAAGGGACGAGCATTATTAGAGTGCACAGGCGTGAGAGGAGCGGGACCCCGTCCGCCAGACCTCCCAGAACCTGCATAGGTGGGGGGGGCATGATTGTAAGCAGTTGACAGCTCCGGTCCAGTTGGCAAACCATTTCCTAAAAAGAAAAAAAGAAAGAAAGAAACAATTAAAAAAAAATTATCTGCCATCAGACTTTCTATTTTCTCAGGCCTCACATCTTTAGCAATGAAGACTGCTAATACTCAAAAGAGCCTGTTCTTAACTAGGGAGCATTTAGCCTTAAGTCACTGAGAGCTGGTGAAATTACCAGTGGAGACCACAAAGTCCCAAGAGAGAGCTTGCCATGCAATGGTAATCAATGTACCAGAAAAACAAGCATTTGACCGTTTTAGTGACGTAGCAGGATCTTGGGAGAGTTCTGTATAATGCACATAATTCCTGCTAATCTATAAAGGCACCAAAGCTAGTAAAAGAAGTTAACATAGCAATCACCATCTAAGTCAGTGTTTTCTAACCTTGGCAACTTTTAAGATGTGGGGGCTTGAAGATGATGGACTGGGGAATACTGAGAGTTGAAGCTCACACATCTTAAAAGTTGTTAAAATTGAGAAACACTGATCTAGACAAATTGAAATATACGTGATGGTGCAAAATCTTTAACTTACCAGGAACATTTGGCTACACAGAAGGAGATTGTGTAACAAATATTTTTTTTATTATACCCTGGATTTGGGTTAGATAGGTCTTCTGCATCAGGAACTTGCAGTTCTTCAAAATCAGTTCTCCATATATTTTCCCCAGTACGTTGCCACCTGATAAAATGGTTGGGGTATGTGGGGCTATACTGAAGAAAACAGATGCCTGTCCATAATTTATTTGTTAAATGAAATTGTAGAATGGGAGGTCTGACACATACCGTATTTTTCCATGTATAAGATGCTATTTTTTCCTAAAAAACACCCTGTTCAATAATCAGGTGCGTTTTATACAAGTGCAGTGTCTTCTACACAGAAAAATAATGGTAACTTCCGCAGCCCAGGGCATGCCTGTGTAGGTTGCCATGCTGCCTGGTGCAGGTGTCAAGCCCCTGTGGGCTTGCCACTAACGGAAGGGGGGAGGGGGCAAGATCGTCGGTTGGCTGAACTTCCAGATTTGCTGGATCAGCTGTTCGGCGCTCCATCGAACAGCTGATTGGCGCGGAGAAACTCGCCTGCCAGGGCGTCTTATACAAGGGTACATCTTATAGACGGAAAAATACGGTAGTATCAACATCTGACTGAACAAGCCATGAGTACTCCTCCCTGAGATTTGTTTAGCAAAGTTTGGGGGTTCTTTATTTATTTATTCAATTTCCATTAGCTGCCCATTTCAGTCAATGATTTTGGGGTCATTAAAAATGACCCCAGGGCTGGGGAGATAAAAGTATACTTGCTGTTTAAATTCTGTATAAAATTTGCCTTTAATTATTATAGTTAATCTAGGAGCAAGCCCAAGTTAACTGCAGTTTCTTATCTTTACTTTTTAAAACCAACCACAATTTAAATGAAAGCATCTTTCCACATAGCCATTCAGTGCTTTCTCCTACTTCCATATGCTTACTTACCAGTTGGCCCAAAAGTACAATTACCCGAATTAGCTGACAGGATGGAATTATTAGTCTGCTCACCCTGTGCCTTGGGGGGAAAAAATGCAAGGGGAAAAAAAACATCATGAAAACAAACCATTTTTCCTTGAAAAAGTTATTTCCCCCCCTCCCTTTGCTTATTTAAAAGCCAGTTGTTCCCATAAAGATGCAAAATACACTGCCACGAAGAAAGACCCAAGAAAAACCTAGCTTAAAACTGCCGACAGCAGACCCCAGAATGGAGCCGCATGTGTGACAAACCTACCGCTTTACTCGACTGCCCAGGATGATCTGAACTGGGTTCACTAAAGTTGGGCACTTCTGAGTACACCATGCAGAACCTGTACAGAAAAACACACTCATGAGGGAATGAAGTTTCTTGCCGCAACTATTTCTGCAACCTCTATCCATTTTCCAGCAATAAACCTCGAGGCAGCCAAGAACGGGCCACAAGACTGCCAATGAGAAATACGGTACTCAGACTCGATGCTTTAGCTCAGTGTTTCTCAACCTTGACAATTTTAAGGCATGTGGACTTCAACTCCCAGAATTCCACAGCCAGCAATGCTTCCACATGCCTTAAAATTGTCAAGGTTGAGAAACACTGCTTTAGCTTATCCAAAGTTCAGGCCCTGAGAAAACTAAAGCCCATAAAAGTGGCTTCCAAGTTTGCAATTCTAAGCGCACCATTTCTTCTGCTGTAGATTAGATGCCCGTATTTAACATTCTAATCATTTCTGCAGAAGGATAACACAACCAGGGCTGCAACCAACCCTTTTGTACGTTTCCCCGAGAGTGAGATCCACTGAATCGTGAATGCCTCACTTGTATGAAAACATGCCTCGATCTGAGCCCTACAGAGAAGACACAGTAAGGCCAGTGTACAAGTTCAAAGAGAAGTGTTTGAGATCAGTTAACATTCCAAATGCATTAAGTGCATCCAAAATTCTGCACATTAAAATTGCTCTTTAAAACCTCCTCTTCCAAACAACTGTATTTTGAGTCGGAGTCCCCTGTGGGATAGAATCGGCTAAGTGACGTCTTGCTCAGCAGAATGATCTTTCACACTAGCAAATCCGAAACAAATGCATTTCAATCTCTTGACGTCACTTAGCCTCGCCAAACTAAAATCAGATAGCCACCTATTTCATAAATGTACACTAATCTTCTCTAAATCCAGATCATCAGGTAATCAGCCCTGGTTTTGCTAAAATATACCGAACCCTATGCCATTTCTATTTGCAACACTTATTTTCTAGCTGAACTGTTCATGTTCATTTTTTTTCCCTTTATGATAACATCCTACAAGTTTCAGAGACCCTTTGGATGTTTTGCTTTAATTAAAAAAAATGGAAGCAGAAATAGTGGAAAGTAATGGACTATGAATAATCAGAGATCACATTGCATAAATTAGGCTACGAGTATAATCACACAGAGGCCACTTAACATTCCAACTGTTAGAACTACACTCTAAATATCCCTATCTATTCTAGCCTGGTTCACAATGCATGATTATCACAGAATGACTGGAAGATGAATTATGGACCAATTATTCAAAAGTTTGAGTGGGGTCACTAGCACATTAATCCTCATTTATTGAATATACATAGCTAGCCCAATTCACAGAAAACAGAGCTAAAAGCCAAGAATTCTTCCACTGTATCTGACACAATGCAAAGAGAAACAAACATTTTCAGTAAATCTTCAAAACAGGGCTAAGCCTTTGATGATCATCTAATGCTTCCAATCATCATTCATGTCAAGATGAACAGGCTTCTGAAGTAAAAAAAAAAATCTAAACTGGTTCAGTTATTCGCTTCTAAAGGTTTATTACAAGTCTCAATGAACAGCCTTCTTAAAGTTGATAAATGCTAGACAAGCCAACAGTCTGACTCAGGACCCTGTAGATCTCAGAGACCTTAATTAGAACCTAAAAGATTCTGCTACATAGAGGGGGAAATTTACCTTTACACCCCTAGAGAGGCTGACTCCTCCAGGACAGACTGGAGCTCAATACCAGAGTAGGATGTGGAAGCTCGCATTGCGGCTGCCTCTACCGTACCTGGCCTGTGGATAAATAGAGGACTTCAGATTTTCGTGCTCCAAGTCCTTGACAGTGACAATGTCTTAACCCAACAAAAGGCTAAACTTACCTGCTTACAACTATACTCAAAAGACAGAAATTATGCTGGATGGGAAAGATTGATCAAGATGTCATTTCTTAGTACTGAAGTTGAAGTTCCTAAGTTCTATATTCCTCCACCCCACTTTCAGGCAGAATAAAACCAAATAAAGTTGGATCAACACCACAGAGGAGGAGTAAACAGCAGAGACACTTTTCCTCTTAAGGCCCAGACTTTGCCTTACCTATCAGGTTTCAAACAATGAACAGATTATGTGCAAAATGAGATACTCACTCCCCAATTTTTTGCAGGTCACCTCCCCTTCCGGTATAAAGTGTAAGGCATCCTTTCCACAGAGAGGCATACCTAAGCAAGGAAACACATGCAGCATTATGGAATGGATGGAATCCAGGAGAGAAGCAACCTGGAATTAAGGAAAAACTTCCTAACAGTGAGGACAATTAACCAGTGGAACAGCTTGCCATCAGAAGTTGTGGGTGCTTTATCCCTGAAGGTTTTAAGAAAAGACTGGACAACCACCTGTCTGAAATGATACAGGGTTTCCTGCCTGAGCAGGGGGTTGGACTAGAAAACCTCCAAGTTCCCTTCCAGCTCTATTCTGATTGAACTATTAGACACTAGAAAAAAATGGACTGACGGTGCAAGTTTTATCAGAATAAAACATAAGCCATCACTCATCAAATGCCATCACATTTATCGTCACACTCTTTAAAACTGGAGAATGATAAAAAATACACCTGAAGCACTGAAATGTTAAACTTGGATTTGCCTTATATTAATTGTTGACTTCTATACTTTGATTGTAATTAAGAACCAATTGGATAACTTTATTTTATCACGTTAAAGAATTAAACAACTGACATTTGCATTGTGGTTCCCATTTCTACTTTATGCCTCCGTTTGGCCTTTGAGACTCATAATTCAACAAAATAACTCTTTACTAAGATTTCACTGAGGCTGATAAAAAGATATGAACTGCTTCTAAAAATTAATATCGCTTCTAAAACTGTTGCACAGATAGCTAAAGTGTTGCATTATCAATCTTTAAAGAAGTTATCCATCTCTTTGTGTGAGTCACGTATTACTTCTGCTAAAATGCAAATAGAAAGCAGCTCTAATATGGTATTGTGCCAAGTTGCCATATGAAGGGCTTACAAATTACCCTAAGGGTAAAATCTAGTTGCACAATGATACAGAAGCAAGTCTTGCATTATTGTTCCCAAGTAAGCAGCCATGTCTCTGTTTTACACTTAAGCCAAAGAATATGTTCCAGCCTCATTCAGGATATATCACATTTGCATCCAAGCCTCTGTCCAAGGTATGCTAAATGTGGAAATGGGTGTAGGGTTATTCCATTTCATCGCAGCTGCAGATTATAAGGCCAGTTATACTGGAAGGAATAGTTTTATGTACTGAGCAGGATATCATGAGCTTGATAGACAAAAAGGTCCAAAGACAAATCACCCCAGTTTAACTACAAACTACTTACTGAATGAGTCTTACTGGTGGATAATTGTAGTCTAATATGCAATGAGAAAACATATCAGGAAACATGTACTAGACCATTCTAATTGAATGAGCAGCCACAGGGGCAAGTGTCAATTAACAGAGCTGCGTGCTGAATTGGATTCAAGTAAAAAAAAATGATCCGGAGCATGGGAAGGTGCCAATACAATACCAAACAGCAATTCTTTAAAACCACTTCCTTTCCTCCAATTACACAAGAATAACTGTGCAAAACTGACCAAAGGCTTTTGAAGAACAGTGGCGTTACCGGCAACTGGAGTTGTATTTATCACTGCCACATTACTGATTTTCTACTTTTTAAAAACATTTCTTCTATTCAAAACATGTCATCATTACAGGTATTGTGCAAGAAGAGCCACCCTATTGGGTCCATAAATTCTTCTCAGGAAATTCATAGCTGATGCAATTTGGCCAGGATATACATTGTTGTGTATTTTTTAATTTCTAACATAAAAAAATAAAGACAAGTTCAAGCAATTAATTATAAAAAGTCACTGAAAGTCAAGCTAACTGGAATGTGATGAAGTAGCTTCAGTCCTTGTTTTTAATACTAACTGGCAAATAATTCAACAAGGCCATCCCTGAAACCTGTTAGCTAACTTTAGACTGAATTTGATACAAAAAATGCAGGATACCTATAATAAATTAAGATAATTTATTGCTAACTATTAATTGTGTCTCTCTCCATTTTAAAATAAGCCAGCTTTCTCAGTAATACTTGATGGAGGCTCTCTAACAGAAGAGGCAGACATAGCCAGCTGCAACAGGAACGATGTGTTACAAATCACATTATATCAGAGCTCAATCCTTTACTATATCTTATTTCAAAGGAGCATACTACCAGTATATCTAAGCAATCAGAGCCATTTACAGTCTGTGTAAAGACTCCAAAGAATTGCCCTTATTTATAAAAAAAAAAAAAAGTCTGAAAAAGTTCGCCTTACAGGGCCTGTTTTACTGAAGATGCTGGAGGGAGGAAGCCTTGAATTTTCAACTCCATAAGAAACCCTACTTTGGGCCAACTCAGATACTGAAAAATGAGGTGTAAATTTAAAAATAGCAGTGAGATCCACAATTTACAAGGGTGGGTCACAGAAGTACCAGCAAGCAGGAGGTCTTGTCCAAAGGCTGCTTCAGAGGTTGGTCTTTATTGGGAAGCCATGCAAATAAAATTTATTATCATGGTCTTTTTTTTAGAAGCTCAGGAAGTTAGACAAGGTGTTGAGAGCATCACAGCCCTGGTGGTGCAGTGGTTAGAATGCAGTCTTGCAGGCTACTTCTGCTGACTGCCAGCTGTCAGCAGTTCAAGTCTCACCAGCTCAAGGTTGACTCAGCCTTCCATCCTTCTGAGGTCGGTAAAGTGAGGAGCCAGTTGGGGGCAATATGCTGACTCTGTAAACCACTTAGAGAGGGTTGTAAAGCACTGTGAAGTGGTTTAGAAGTGCTATTGCTATTAGCAACAGGCTATGAAGCTGAGCACCACCAAATACCTTCTTATCTCCCACCCTCTGCAGAAAACAGCAGTTTTTTCCCTTCAGTTATGCGGAAGTCAAAAATTATCTTCCACCTAAACTACTCTATCTACAGCAGTGTTTCTCAACCTTAACAATTTTAAGGCATGTGGACTTCAACTCCCAGAATTCCACAGCCAGCATTGCTGGCTGTGGAATTCTGGGAGTTGAAATCCACATGCCTTAAAATTGTCAAGGTTGAGAAACACTGATCTACAGAGACGATAAGAACTCAGAGAGTGGTTGTGATCCGTCCTCCTGCTCCTAATTAAGAAGTGAAATCTTCCTTAGATCAAGCTTGACTCTTGCTGATTTTAGGACATGCCATGTTGTTTCCTTGGCAACAATACCAAAGTTGTTTCCACTGCTTTCTTCCTATAAGATAAATAAAATCTAAATATGCTTCCTTGGTTTCTGGCCCCAAATTTTCCTAGCAGCCTCCCATCCAAATAGTTACCTTATCTGACCATGGTTTGTTTGTTTTTCCCAGATCAGAAAAAGTCAGTTAAGTTCTGCTATCTGGATATCTCTATTTCACAAGTCTTGAGCATTTCCCAAGTCTGAGTTCTATTACTGCAATGTTCAGCTTCGCTCTTGAAGAGGAAGGACAGAAGGGGGAGAGAACAGCTTTGCTTCTCCATTAGAGGAAACCCCTTAAGTCAACCCACTTCTACAAAACGGGCACAGAGACAATCAGGAATACTGGGCAGGTCTTTTAAGGTTTTCTTAAGCCACCCTTCCCAACCCATTCTCTCAAAGTATCACCACCTGCAGCCAACTTGATCAGAGGCCATGTTGATTGGAAAACTGGAAGTCATAAGGTTGGGCAAGGCTGCTTTGAGAGGTCAGTCAAGGCTAACATGTGGTTAAGAAAGGCTTCACTGCCCTACAGCAAGCCAGAGACAACACTTTTGTCTATATCTGGGCCAGTTCCAATCATATACGAAGCATTGTGTTGACACAGAGAGGGCAGACCAGTGGAAAGAGTGAACCCTTCCTGTACCTGCCGCTTACCCTCAGAGGAGCTGAGCTTAGTTCATGGGAAGCAAACACTGAGGGGACAGGTGCTTTTCCAAGAGACAAAATGGCAGGGGAGGGGGCTTTCCCCCTATTAAAGGGATCAAGCATTAGGGGATGGGAACAACCTTGAAGAAGTATTGTCAATGAACAGGCATTTGTGGGCTAAATGTGGCAAAGGGATGAGCCAGCCCAACAGTCTTCCTATGTGCAGTATATGATTGAAGAAAACCCAGTTTAGAAAAAGCACAACCAGTTTGCTGTTCCCACTTTAATGGCAGCCTTGCAAGAGAAGAATTCCTGTTCCCATTGCCCTCTTTTTTCCAAAATAGATGGTAGTCACAGCTGCTCCAGTGCTAGTTTTATCTAGTCCCATGTTCAGGAATGCTGCCTTCCAAGTAGCACACAAGCTGCTTCTAGAGCAAACAAGCCAGGCTGAGCTCAGCCTGGCATCATCCTTATTTTTGCATTACGTACCCTTTGGTCAACCGAATAATATCACCTGGCTGGATGAGGCTGCCAAGCTCATCCCACACAGAGATGGTGATGCTTCCTGTCTTGTCAGCTACTTTGCACGCCCTGACCTCATGTCCATCTTTGGTTTTGGTAACACGCCCTACCAGGAAACAGCAAAAAAAAAAGAGAGAGAAGAATGCAAATAAGATAGACTTGAAAGAATGACCCAATAAAGTAAATACAAGCTGTCACCATAATTTATTCTCCTGTACATATGATTAGGAAGTTAACTATGGAGTTAAAAGCTTTGGAATTGATTGCAGAAAAATACTAAAATAGAAACAAGATCCCTAAAAATATGGAAGGGGTCTATTTAAAAATAGGACTTTTTTTAAAAAAAAAAAAGGGTGGAGCACACCACCAGTGGGACTTCCAACCCTTTCCCTGAAAAATGACCACGTGTCACACACACACACACACACACACCTTCTTAGTTGGAAGAGGGAGAAGGAAAGATAGGAACGGGGGCGGAGAGGAGAGAATCGAGGGAGGAAAACAATGAATGCGATGGTTCCAAGGGACCCCACTTACCTATCTCCAGTACAATAAAGACGACATTTACATTTTTCAGTCCGGGCTTTATGTCTTTTATGAAGAGGTATGTTTCGTTTGCCATGCTCATGCTACTTGTTCAGGAAGAAGACACGGGCGTTTCAGGGACAGAATGAGCAGGACAAACCATCCCTTCCCAGCGGAGCACTGGGTAGAAGAGGGCAGCCGGGGACCGGGATGTGAGTTTGACTAGCTTTTCAAAAAAAAAATTATATGTACAACTGGGGGTGGAAGGGGCAGAAGGCGGTTTTTTTTTTTTTTTTTTTTAAGAGACAAGGCAGGCACAGCAACCGTCCCTTTCCTGTAGCTCAAACTGGTTGTACTCTCCAATCGGGGAGAAACCCCTGATCGCACACCAATCTAAAGCCGGGTTGGGGTTAGAAGCCTGAGCCCTGTGATTTATACAGAGTTTGGCCGGCTTCAGCAACGACTTCCGTCCCTGCCGGTGGAAGGGAAAAACCAGTCCAGTATTCTTCTCCTCCCTGCTTCTTACAGCGCTTAGCTCCACCGAAAAACGAGGGAGAAAAGAAAGCGGAGCGCTTTCTCTTGTTCCTTGTTATTTTACAACCACTAAGGTGCTTTTCTGCTCCTTGTTCACCCCCCCAGTAAGCACCCCAACCCTAGAAAAGTAAGCGCAGTAATTTCATTCCCCCCACATAATCCACCTCCTTTCGCAAACGCTCCCCTCTATGGAAGGCAAGCATGTGCCGCATCGCGCTTTTATAGCCAAGCGGACTGGTCCATTTGCGCCTCACGAGGGGAAGGGAGAAATGAGTGTTAAGGAAAGCAGAGAACGGAGACGCTGATTATCGGTTCAGTGGGCAGCTGCTGAGTCTTATCAATCTCGCATCGTATGTTATCCGTGTTGTAACCAACCAGCGCTGGAGATATAAAAAATAGGACGGTGCCTACCCAAGCGAAATGGTACCGTCCAGTGGACGCGGGATGGAACTGAATGTGACAAAGTGCCTCGTGAAAGGAGCCGATTGGTTGGAGGAGATTCTTTTGTCCTCTGACCTAGAATATTTATTCCTGTTCGTCGGCGTCCACACCTTCTTTTCCTTCGGCTTTCAGGGGCGAGTTGAAGCTCGCTTCGCCCGAGGACAATGCTGTGTTCTCATCGGGAGCTTCCCGGAATGGCGGTCTCTGGCTTTTTCACGTGCCGCTGATTCCTTCACTGACTTAACCCTTTTCAAAAGAAGGGTGCCGTCCAACCTGAGCGCGCCAGGATTAACCCCCTTATTTGTCGCGTATAGTAAAACATGTTTTTTCCCCCAAATTGGATAAGTTTGAAACTGAGCAGAGTAAGCAGCAAATCCCATTTGTTCCGGATCTAGGAAAGCTGAACGCTGGAGATAACCGAGAATCTTAGACGGGACTGTAATCGACCGTGGTGTCTTGCAGCCTGAAAGCTGTACTTTTTTTTCAGGCGGAAAAGAATATTTGAAAAGCCAACCGCGTTACTTTCAAAGATCAGTGGTCCCCTACGTGGTTGATGGGCTTATTTCTCGGTAGCTGTGGGTAAATAGTGTAATTTAGATCAGTGGATCTTTACTTGGAAAAAGAGGCATATGTAGTGTACAGTCGAGCGTGTAATCATTCAATTTATTAAGTGCCTCATAAAATACATTTCTCCAGGCTTAAAACACCTGGAGAAATTACAGTTGTGGGTATCAGAGCTTATTCAATGTGTAACTTATAAAAGACACCGATAGTTAAAGTGAAGTATATCCTGTAATTTCACAGAATTTATCTGAAACCAAACAGTGCTGTATTCTTGTGCTTCCTGTGGTTTTTCCTCAGCACTTTTTATGTGCAAGCAATACTGAACATGTTTAAAATGCTTAGATACCAGTAAAAATGTCTCAACAACTTTACATCCTTCATTGAGAAGGCATTGCTGTATATAAATACCACTTCCCTGATAAGCCCCATTGGATTTTGCAATTTTTTCTACAGAACTGGCGTAAGAGAATTCCACAGTTAATCCTAACAAAACAAGTTTTTTTGACCACCTTTCCTGCTAATCCACTCTAGTTCATACAATTTGGGATAAGTTTCATTTTCTTTAAAGTGTTTCAGATTTAGATTTCAAAGAGGTACAACAAGCAACAGGAATGAAACATAGAATTGGTAGAAATATGGTCACCTGTTTATTTGATAATGATTTTATTTTGACTCAGGATGAATTGCATCCAAGAATACTGTAAGAATATCTCTACCTAATCTAGGATTGCCACACCCAAAAAGGACAGCTTGGAGTGATAAAGAAGCAGATGCACCCTTCAACAGATATTTGCTTTTGGATCAAGGCCAAAAGGCAGAAAATTACTTTGTTCAGTATGAGGAAAGACTTGGTGGTCAGTTCAGAGATTGCAAACTAGACTAGATTACAGGTAGTCCTCAGTTTATGATGGCAATTGAGTCCAAAATTTCTGTTGTTAAGACAGTTAAAGGCATTTTGCCCCAATTTATGACCTTTCTTGCCACAGTTGTTAAATGAATCACTGCAGCTGTTAGGAACAGTTGTTAGGTGAACCTGGATTGCCATTGACTTTGTTAGAAGGTCGCATAAGATGATTGCATGATCCCAGGATACTGCCACCATCATAAATAGGAGTCAGTTGCCAAGAATCTGAATTTTGATCGTGATTGTGGGAATGCTGCAACGGTCATAAGTGTGAAAAATGGTTATAAGTCACTTTCTTCAGTGCCGTTGTAACTTCAAACGGTGACCAAATGAACTGTTGTAAGTTGAGGACTACCCTTTTACATCCATTCAATTTATGGATGAGGATAAAAGTAACTATGCAGTCCTACTTTTTCTTAATTACATGGGTCTGATTCACTAAGTGATGGCTGAATACGCACATGTTCTCAATTTTTTTTAAAATCTTCATATAGTTGCAGATCATGGTTTGTTTAATCTTGTTTTGATGATTAAACCAAAAGCATGTTAGTTTGCTTAACATGCTAGGCCAAAATCTTATAAATAAACAATGGGATATTGTGTATGAATCCAGCCAAAATTCAACTCATAATATTTATAGGAATATTCTTAGAAAAAGCTATTGTTTAGAGGAACAGTTATTATTTTCTTCTTGGAAAAACAACATACTTCTATCCATTTTAATTATGATGCATATTCATAATTTTATGTAAAGCAAATGTCAGCTATAATGCATTTATTGCTTATTTGATTTCCAACTGATTACTATTTTGAGGCAGGTTTATATGGCCACATCCTTGTTCCATACTAAAGAACTAATCAAAGCATTCAGTTAAATGAATCCTCCATTGAAAGGGTCAGTTTTCCATTTATATGACATTTCTAACTGTGTATCTTTAGGCATGAGTTTTGAGTATATTGCCTTGATTGAAGAGAGGAGTACGGGATCTGTGATCAGGTCCATAGGTTTCTTCCAAATAAATTCCGTTTATTGAATCAAATGCTGCACTGAGGTCTATAAACGTTGTAAATAGTTGGATCTCTTTAGCTGTGTAGTTTTCTTTAGGATAACATAAATTGAAACGGTTATGGATTAGGGTCAGGGTCAGACTGATTTAATGTAGGGATGATGACTTATTATGAACATGTCCCATTGTTTTCTTTGTATCCATTTGTATTAGTTTTATATTCTGATATGGTCAAATAACTAAATAAAGTTTCTATTCTATTCTACCCGAATGAGCTGAAGACTTTACTTTTATCTGACTAGTTTGACTTTGAAACTCCTTGAAGAGCTATTCTAATCAAGGTTATTATTTTAGTGACATTTTTAATTGTCCTGTTTTTTTATCGTATACATTAGAATATTGGTGCTAATATATATTAGCATAAAGGATTTCAGGTGATTTTTCTTTCTTTCAAGTCGATCCATTTATATAACCAAGACATTTAAAACTTTTTAGGTCGAGTTTTTCAAACTGTATTCTACATGATCTGCAAGGATTTGATGGGATTCCATAATAAAGGATTTTTTTTCCCCACCCAGACACCACCAGTCGTCTGTCTCTAAAGCTTTGCCTCTAGGAGTTCTGGAACATTATTTATTTATTTATTTACAGAACTATTGGGTTCCACATCATCATCAAGTTTGAAAATTCTGATCTTGATTGCTTGGCACAATTTGATCTTTTAAATCGTTGGGGAATTTTTTAAAAAAAAAAAACTTACTGTAGAATTAGTTTCTAAAAGAAGTACTAAATTCCTGAGAGATGAGAAGAGAGTGACAAAACTTCAAGATTACAAAAATCTAGCACAGGATAATCAAACAGTGTCTGGGGCTGTAACATTTTAATAGAGAAAGTGTTATTCTTAAAAACATAGACATGATTTCTCCACCTAGAAAATAAATACATTACAGAAAAGAACTAGAGTGGTAATAAGAACCAAACCCTCTTCTGGGATTTCCTGAGTGTATCTGAAATGAACCTCTCTGGACCTAAAGGGACCAGCTGACACTTCTGATTGTGCTTTGCAGACATAACCCATGACACCCCTTGCACTTCACAATACATGTTTGGAGTAGTGATGACTTCGAAGCCCAAAGCCTCAGAGGGCATATGGGGAGTAAAAGCCTTGAGATACCAATCACAATGGGTTAAAGCACTGAGTCCCAGAAAGAAAACTAAAGATTTTTTCAGCCTTGCCGGGTCATCATGTCAAGGGCTTCCAAAGGAGACAAACTTTTGAGTGACCTGGGTTACAAGCTGGGCCAAACCTTAGGAGAAGGAAGCTATTCCAAGGTGAGAGTGGCCACCTCGGCCAAATACAAGGGACCACTAGCAATCAAAATGGTGGACCGACGTCGAGCACCCCGGGATTTTGTGGAAAAGTTTCTACCCCGGGAACTCTCCATTTTGCGAGGGATTCGGCACCCACACATTGTAAGAGTGTATGAATTCATTGAAGTTTGCAATGGGACTCTCTACATCGTGATGGAAGCGGCATCCACAGACTTGCTACAAATGGTACAACAAGCCGGGAAGTTACCCTGTGCTCCCGAAGCACGAGACATCTTTGCCCAAGTTGTGGGTGCTGTGCGTTATCTTCATGACAGGCATTTGGTGCACCGGGACTTGAAGTGTGAGAATGTGTTACTTACTTCAGATGGCCATCGAGCAAAATTGACTGACTTTGGTTTTGGCAAGGAATCGCGTGGATACCCTGAACTGAGTACTACCTACTGTGGATCAGCTGCATACGCATCCCCAGAAGTGCTGATGGGCATCCCCTATGATCCCAAAAAGTATGATATATGGAGCTTGGGTGTAATGCTCTATGTGATGATTACTGGCTGCATGCCTTTCGATGACACTCACATTCACAACATGCCTTGCCGCCAGAAGAAAGGAGTCATGTTCCCTGAAGATCTGCATTGTCTATCTGAGCCCTGCAAAGCTCTCGTTAGGCAGCTGCTCCAGTTCAATCCGGAATCTCGACCCGGTGTAGGACTCGTATCCAAGAACAACTGGCTGAAAGGGGACGCTTAAATTGGGTGTCCTTCCCTACCTTGCACTTGCAGGATGCAGCCAGTTTATCTACTACAGGCAGCTGTTTCAAGAGGGGATCATGGGGAGAGAAAATTGGAACTACGTCACTGTGCAAAAAGAGATTTCTGGGATATTGACTAGGGGAAGTAAGAGGGCAAATTGCTTTAGAGGGGGAAAAAACAGTTCAAATATAAGTTCCTCTGAAATTAAAAGGACTTACTTCCTAGCTAATGTATTCCTGACTGGATGCAGTGAGATTTTTTTAAACTCTCTTTTATGCATTAGCTGTCATTCCATGTTTGTCTCTATTTCTCTCATAGTTTCTGAAAGGGAAAGCATGTTTCCTATGCTTTAATTCAAATTTGGGGGATGTCTTGTGGCGAAAGAAGGAAAGTGTTGCCCACATTGACAAGGCAGAATATTCTACCCACACGTACCCCAAATATTTCAAAGGATTATGATCTTCTATTTTGGATTATGCAGGATGCCACACAGTAAAACTAACGAAGTATCAAAATGACACCCTCTATATAGAGTAGCTTAATATTTTTAAATTGTAGTCTGTGTAATTGGAGAATGATCAGGGATAACAGCAAAATTATTTCAAGAATCCAACTCTTCCATTTGCAGAGTAAAACTAACAAATTTAGAGTTGCACATTATCTCTGATTTTCTGCTCTCTGATTTGTGTTATCCGAGACGGCAATTTTAGTGTGCTTGCATTATCAGATTTCCCCCCCCCCTCGCCCCCATGATATCTGAATGTTTACAAGTACAAACATCTAATCATCCTAGAAATATAAAATTGGATTGAAATCAAGCTCTTTACATGACGCTAACGTTTATGGAACCAAACATTCTAAAAATAAACAGACTTACTTATGTATTGCTTAAAAAGCAAAAAAGAAGAAGAAGAAGAAATGTATGATGCCATTCTTCTCTCTTCTCAGCATTTAAAAGTATGAAATGAAAGCTAAACAGAAAAAGGCCTGAGGTCAGTTTTAGTACCAAGACTTTTCCGTTTTACATACTGTATAGAAGAATGCAGCTAATATGGAGAATCTTTGGAATTCTCTTAACAAGCCGAAGAGATCTGGCCTCCCAACATCACATTTCATTTATTTAAGATACAGATACTCTTCGATCCACAACCATTCATTTAGTGACTGTTTGAAATTACAACGGCACTGAAAAAAGTGACCTGTGATCATTTTTCACACTTATGACCGTTGCAGCATCTTCCTGGTCAAAATTTGGACGCTTAGCATCTGGCATCTATTTATTACGGTTGCACTGTCCCAGGGGTCATATGATCATATGATCACCTTTTGCGACTTTCTGACAAGCAAAGTCAATGGGGAAGCCAGATTCACTTTAACAACCGTGTTACTAACTTAACAACTGCATTGATTAACTTAACAACTCTGGCAAGAAAAGTTGTAAAATAGGGAAAAACTCACTTAACAACTGTCTTGCTTCGCAACAAAAAATTTGGGCTCAGTTATAGGTCATAAGTCAAGGACTACCTGTGCTTGTTGGCTACATTTCAAAATACTTAGTTCCTGAGGATGACATAACATCTTTTCCAATTAACCCCACAAGAGTATTTGAAAATTAACAAAGCAAAGACGAGTGGAGAAATGATAAAACCAATCGTTTTATTTCTAGCACCATATTCTAAAAACAAGAGAACTAAAAAGAAATGTCAATGCAACTATTCTTTCAGTGAATGTAGTCTGAAATAAAACATGTTTTTAGGTCTTAATTTAAACAAAACCAAAGGATTAAGTTGGATGACTCTTTCAAGGACAGAGGTACTGAATGTGGAGCCCCAACGAAAGTACTATGTTGTTGCTGCTGCATTTTGTGCATTCAGGTATCCGCTTAGTTTCTGGAGCATAAAGAGAGCTTCTGCTCTGTTTGTGCTTTTTCACCGAGTTATTCTCTAACAGCTTAAAGATCAGTATCAACGTTTTGAATTGGACTGAGCAGCAAATGGCAGCCACCAGAACTGATGGGAGAATTGGCTTAATAAAATCAGTTGATGGAAGGGCTGCGTTATTTGTGCACTAATCTCCTCATATGGAACATGTCACTGAAGTCTAGCCTGGCTATGGGCTAGGTGGAGATGAGTTACTATAGCAGGTTCTACCACATCCGGATGGGAGTCACAGTTAATGAATCATTCTATGCTGATAAAAGGCACTCGTTATAACCAATTGTGGCAGTCTTAATTGTATAAATAAAATTATCCCAATTAAATCTGGGAAATTGCAAAGATTTCATGCAAACAGAAGTTCTAAAATGAATTCTAGTGGCATCCATTAACCCAAGATGCCTCAGATCACGGGTGTCAAACTCGCCATGTCACGTAACGTGTCGTGACATATCGCGACTTTTTTGCATTGCCGGAGCTGGGATAGGCGTGGCCTCCAGATGATGCAACCGGCCTGCAGGCTGGCAGTTTGACACCCCTGCCTCAGATCGACACTACGTTCAAGAATCAATAGGATTGTATTCCCCCCCACCCATTTCCAAAATTAAGCATTCATAAAAAGTCAGACTGAAATCAATCTATATAATATATTGCCTTCAGAATTATGGGAATAGGACATTGGATACTAGGCAATAATTGTCAAGATCCAAACGTTTGTACTTTTTTTCCCCAATGAAAATTGTATTGCTAGCTTTTTTAGGACAGCAGGAGCACCATCTCTTATCAAGAAGTATGCGTCATTTGAGAACCATGTGGTAGATTTCACTATCAGAAGAAGCAAGAGAACAGGATAGTGACCCAATGTTCAAGCAATTTATTTACATGTTATGGTTGCACAATCTGAACAGTAACTAGACAAATAAGGCCATAGGGATACTGGCAATACACCTCTCTCATTGTTTTAAACTGCAAATAAACTTGTTTTATTTACAGTCTGTAATGTACATGTCTGGACAACTTCCTGAAATTTTCTTGACAAGATTCCAGGTATAGTTTGCCATTGCCTACTTCTTAGGGCTGAGAGAAAGTGACTGGCACAAAGTCACCCAGCTGACTTTATGCCTATGAAAGACATGTTTTTCCAGTTTCTTGCTTAGCACCTTAAGCACTGCACCAAATGGACACTCCTTTGTAATCATAATTGTAAGTTAATGTGTGCTATCAATTTCTTCACTAAAACAATAAAAGAAGGAACAGGAGTTCTTTCATGCAATCTTATTGTGGGGTTTTTTTTGCCTAAAGTTGTAATGGAGATCTTGAAATATATGTCATTTTATATACAACTGTGCAACATTTTTTCTAACGTCCATATAACTTCTTACTTAGGGAGAGAACACTAAGTCTTATTTCATAATACCACATCCTGTTTTAAAGTCACTAGGTTAGTTTAATTGCCATCACTAATTATAGATGTTGTTCATTTTTAAAAAGTCAGGATTTCATCAGATGAGTTATTCCAAAAGGTTTTGATTAATGATTAACAAACTGATTAACAGTTTGAGGATTGTGCCATTTACAATAATGTATTTGTAAGACTGACACATGAAAAAACAGTACATGTGTCCCATTAAAATAGGGTGTAGTAGCAAATATAAATAAAAGAATGCAATTGTTAACTAGCAACTGAATCTGTAATAATCTTGTATACATTCTGTTAAATAAAATCAGACCATGTGATTTGTTTTAATTCTATGTTTTTCATTATGAACTTAATACCTTTTTAACATTCTAATTATGTAAAATAAAAGACCCAAGACAATATATCACACACGGTTAATTCAAGGGTTTCTTAATTTAAGCTTGTTTTATAAAACACATTTCCATTTAGAAAAGTATCCAGTTAAACCATTACAGAAAGTCCTCACTTAATGAGCATTCATTCAAAAATTGTTCAAATTTACAACAGCACTGAACAAATGGTTCTTCTGATTGGTCCTTGAGGTTTCAACTGTTGCAGTGCCCCTATGGTCACATAATCACAATTGAGGAGCTTGGCAACTGGCCCAGATTTCCGACTGTCCAGCATTCCACAATCACTGATACAATTTAATGAAAAAAGTCAATGGAGAAGCTGGAGGGAAATTGAAAGTTACAGTCACGTGATCTCCTTTCTTAACAACCCACATGGTCCTTGTTGAACAACAGCATAGGTATAAGCTGGGTTTTCCATATCATTTTGTCAGAGTTGGACAGGAAAGAGCCATACTGGAACAACTCTTATGTTGTTGCCATTCCAGAAAAATAGACTTGTAAAGCATTTAAGAATGGTGGTACATTTTGTTTCCATTTTTTTTCACTGCAAAATCTCTCACATCAAGTGAATTCTTTTATATGGATCACAAGAAACTTATCACTGTTGCCAAAACAAATTATCTTCTGTACTTTAAGCTAAATAAACCCAGAGCTAAGTTTGTAAAACAAAAAAAAGTTTTCTGTAGAAATGATAAGGAAAACTGGGTGTCTCTACTACATCCTGCATTTTCCAGACTTCGTTAACTCTAAACACTGCTGCACAAAACTAGAACTGAATGAAAATAAATAGCTTAACAACATTAGGCAGTTTGATTTTAACTGATTAGGTCAAACTAGGATGCCTTTTCTAGACTAAGGCTTTTCAACCAGTGGTACGGTTACCACCTGTGGTACATTGGCACCTGGCAGGTGGTACGCGACCATCCTAGAAAAGTGGTAGCTGGGGAGGGGAATGAGCTGAACCGGTGGTAGCACCACACAAGTCTGAGCGAGAGATGGCTGGAGCTGCAGGCCTGTCAGGGCTCAGCGGAAATGCCAGGATCAGTGCTTCTTCGGGACTGTCAGGGCTCATTGGAAGTGCCAGGATCAGCACCATGCTCCAGCTGGAGCTCGGTGCTGATCCTGGCACTTCTGCTGAGCCCAGAAGAAGCACTGATCATATGGAGTATTGCAACATCTCCAGGGTCTTGTGATTTACATTCAGATGCTTGGCAACTGATTCATATTTATGATGGTCACAGTGTCCCAGGGTCATGTGAAGTGACAAAAACCTGCTGCAAACACCCAGCAGATGGGGGGAATAAAAACCAAGCAACCCCCACCCCACCCTACTGCCAATCCTCAGCAGAAATGCTCACAACAATGAAAACCTCGGACAGGAGGAAGAGCACCGCCAGGTAGGCAGGCACTTTTTCAGTGCCATTGTAACTTCGAACAGTTACTAAGCAAACTGATGTAAGTCGAGGACTACCTGTACTTCATCACTT